ATTAGCTTTGGGAAATCGACCCAAGAACCGCTGGAAGCCATAGTCAACAGTGGCTACAGGTGCTTTCAACCGTTAGAGCAGAGTGGAAACGGAGGATACCTTGGCAATAACTTTTGAGGGACGTAGGTGCGATGAGAGGATGTAAGACGAGAAACGTCGGAGAGTGAATGCGTTCCTTGTGAATAATGCTAGTGCGACAGGATCTTGGTTGGAATTTGACATAAAATGAGGGTTCGGGTGCTGCTGTCTGCGGTTCCCGTTCCAGTGTCACAGGCTCCAAGCCTGCGAAAGCAAATAGTGAGATGAGAAAAGAGGTTCGTTTCGAAGAGCAGCAGGAGAGGGAGTGTGAGGTTACGAAATCTGAAATGGTCTGGTTACCAGATGGTGGATACCGTACCTAGAGTGATGCCTGGGTGCCTGAGGGCAGCGGAGGGTTAGAACGTGAAGAAGACACAGCCTCTTCTCGTATCTAGCTAGCGGTCCCCGACCGGTAAATTTTAGGGTAAAGAGAGTTAGTCTGAGAGGAGGCTGGTTGGTATTCGCAAGGAGATGGCGTAACATGTTTTGGATGCTGGGTGTGCTGTAGGATTAGGTCAGTGCTTAGAGAGTCAACGGGCGTCTAGGGTCGGTGGCCAACAGAGATGAAGATTACACACAACTTGAAGAGAGGCTAGCAGCCTAAAGTTGAGAAAAGAGGGAATAACTAAGCAACGAAAATACTTCTTCGAGGGGTTACTAAAGAGGAGAGAAAACGAAAGAGTTGGGATTTATCTGAAAAAGAAAGGAGCTATGGTAAGTCTTATGGTCAGAACTTACCCTCGTATGAAAACAGTTCGATGGAGAGATTACTGAGTGTAGGAGAGGTAAAATACTGACTGCCACGGCCGTTCGTCTTAGGTTGCAGGTATTAGGAAGTGGCAGGAACTGAGGGTCGCCAAAAGCACACTTGAAAAAACGCCCAGCGATAAAAGCCTCAATTCAAAAAGACCGAGGCAACAAATAGTCCAGAGCTGCTTTCCTCTTGGAGGTTGGGGAACCGATATGGGTGGTCTGGCTAGATTTAGCCCAACCCAAACTGCCTCTGCCGGAAAAGTCCAATCCAGGGTACCCGAGCTGCCTACCGAGTCTACCCGGCAAGTCGGGCAGGGAGAGGGCCTAGGGTTATCCTCCCAAGTCTTCTGCTGCAAATACAGTGAACGATAAAGGTTAAGGCTACAACCATCCACAACAAATAGTTCGGGGCTGTCCCACTCTTGCAGGCTAGGGAGCAGGCGGAAGTGGCCTGGCTATAAAGAGCCCTTCCCAAATTGGCACGGCCGGAATAGTCCCATCCGGGGTAACCATGCTACTTACTGGGTCTGGCCAGCAAGTTTGGCGGGGAGACCGCCTTGATATTCCTCCCAGCTCTTCGGCTGCAAGTGCGTTGTTCGATAAAGATCAAGGTTACAGCCTTCAATTCTTCCTTAATGATCCTAGACACTCTGCCTGTCCAGATTCGGGTCTTCAGTCAGCCGCCGCCTGCCAAATGGCTAGGGAGCCAGATTAAACCACCAATACTTGGCCAAGCTATCGGCCGCGGGGTTGCCCGTTCAGGCGCCACAGCATCAGGAGGTCGGTCGATAGTAGCGCCCGGTAGTCCAACAAAGGGCCTAGTTGCACTACTCACCATCCGTCACATTTCGTGGTGGATCCCTCTCTCTCTCTCTCTCTCTCTCTCTCTCTCTCTCTCTCCCTCTCTCTCTCTCT